TCTCGCATATGTTGAATGTACCATTTGCCGTTCAACCTTGTACAATCCTAGGTTTTTATGGATGATATTTCTAAACATCCAGTATTCGATGAGCGGATGACTTAGGGATATCCGCTTCATTACCAGTTTTTCTAACCGACACTCTGGGATTATTATTAGTGTATTCAATAGCATATTTATGATTTCTGGGTTTTTCAAAACTTCCATAATTTAGCAAATTTAATACCAGATCCCTAAAATGTCTTGTGTTTGGTTGATGCCGTTCAGGAAATTTATTTTCATAAATTTCCGCAGCCGCTGTAGAGCTTCTGTGGGCTACGAAGTAAGTTTTTCTTCTTACCACAGTTATTTAACTAATTAAAAAAATGTTTTTTCTTCATTGGTATGCTTAAGAGCCATATTTGAAAATAATAACAACGTAACCGAAATTAAAATTAAAAAAAACAATTAACGAATTAAAAATGAACGAATATAATCTAATGTTAAACTAACTATAATTTGACAGTTACAAAACATATTTTTAGCTCGCCTACTAGACTAAATTGACAACAGTAGCAAAATTTATTAGGAAATTGTTAGATTTGTTTATTTCAGCGTTCATTTGAAAAAAGTACCATGTTGTGATATATTTTTAAAAAGGAAATTAACAATTCTATTTATTGCAATAAAAATCCAATATGGCGTCCATAGGAAAAATAAAGTTATAGTCAATATCTCGAAAACGGAAGGAGAAACTCTTTTTATTTTTTATTGTAAAGACCTTAAAAAAGTGCCCATAGAATGTCTAGACCAAAATACCGTATGTTCTCAAATAATCAGGATACGGAGGACTATCAAAACCCACAATTTTGGTTTTTCGCCATTTATTCAAAAACCAAAAATAATTGACAAAATATAATAGCAGTTCTGAAATGGTAATAGAATCCTCAGAAACATTGCCCATTTAGCCGGTTTTGTAACTCTTATAATAACCGAGGTAGCAATACATGCAGCACCAATCTGGGACACAGTGTATAGGTAAATATTTCATTTTTAAGCGCCAACACTAATTTTTTCCTCCTTGTTCTTCTCCGCCCTGGTGTTGTATTTATACTATACCAATTCGTAGTGTCCGTAAATTGCATGTACATGAAGCTACAACACATTAATGGGCTTTAAATAAGTTAATTTAACCAAACTTACTTTTATGTCATTTTGCTTCGTTTGGCCGCTAGAGGTTAACAAAGTTAAATAAAAATATCTATTTTTTGTGATATTCAGAATTAAGCCATTTTAAAATATCAAACTTGACACGAATATCAAGTGTTTTATGGCCGATTAAAAGCTGCAGGTACAATTTTTCTAGAGCGCTCATAAACGTCCCATTAGGAGGAGGACAACGGACAGTTTCCATATTTTTTATCTGTCACTTTTCGATTTTTCTGGAATTAAAATAGAAAACTATACAGTTTTTGCCTAAAAAAGTTATTCTTATTCAATGAAGACATCCTTTAAATAAAAATAAATTTGAACTATACATATTGCCATGCTTAATGAAAAATGGTATCAAAAAATAATGAAAATTTCGATACTTCAACACCTAAGCATTTCTACAGGCAGCGTTCTTCTGTATGCTGCATATAAAAATTATCATTATCATTTTATTGACACTATCTTTCATAGTACTATTAAGTAGGAATGATTAGCATAGCGATATGAAAAGTTCAAATCCAATTTTAAATTTCTATTTTAATTCCAAAAATGTTAAAAAGTAACAGAAAAACAAAATAAAAAAATGTCCGTTGTCCTTCTACTAATAAATGAGAAGCTTTTGATCGCAATAGAAAAACTGTATCTTATGGCTTTTAATTTGCCATAAAACACCTAGTATGCGTGTCAAGTTTGATATATTAGAATAACTGAATTCTGGAGATTAATAAAAAAATATATTTTTTTTCACTACTAGCTTTAGAAGCTAACTTTATTGACTGATTTTCAGGTAGAAAAAGTGGTTTATTATTAACCTAGAGAGAGAATTACAGAGCCTACCTGATAACTATATACCTACTGTATTTTATGTAAATGATATCAGTTCATATTTTGACAGTTTTTGAGGTTAACTGAAATGCTCAAATACAAATACAAAATGTAAAAATATTTTACTTACTTATTTAATGGTCATATCCACTATTCAAATAAAACCAATTCTCTTTCAGATTTCATTCCACATTTTCATTAATATATAAAAGAGTTTTTAAATCAAAATAAAAATAAATCGATAAATAGATGGGTAACTTGTTGCCAAGGTTGTTCTTGTCACACCGGTAGAACGGGAGTGACTGGTGACCCGTTCAAAATTCGGACGACATTATAAATTCAAAATTCAAATTTTATCAAAACTTTTAATTTTGTGACTAACTCGACCACCAGCAAAAAAAATGTCATTTGATTCTACGTATAAACTGTAAATTCTATATGTACTAAATTGACGTTTGTGTTTTACATTTAATTGTCACAAGCATGGATGATTTGATTTGAAAAAAGTTTGAAATCGTTTTTATTAGTTTTAAAAACATATTTTTTTTTTTTAATTAAAATGCTAGTAGTGAAAAAACTAGTATATGAGCCACGGTAGAGAAGTGAGTTATTTTGTTGAGGTCCATTAAAGACCGAGAAGCTTCTCTCGGTCTTTAATGGACCTCGACAAAATAACTAACTTCTCTACCTTGGCGCATAATATACTATTATTTAACCTTATTGATCTCTAGCGGCCAAACAAAGTAAGTTGGTATGTATGTTTTGAGACCATAAATCTGTGATAGCTTCATCTACACGCAATTTCCAGATACCCTGTATTTATATTTTGATCATTATAATTTTAGGTAATTTTTATTATATACGTCAATCACACATATTCCTGTTTAGTTGTTCGTATTCGTATAGAATTCGATACCAGATGATCAAAGAGAATTAGGCAAGTTGCGTAACTAAGGTTTGATTGTACTAGTTAGCTAAATTACATCGCAGTAATTATTTAGAGTAACTGATATTGTACACCTAACGATATAATGATTGAACAGTTACTCTAATCAGTAGGAGTGATGGATTTCAGTGTTTGTTCACCTAAAATAAACAACATTTGCAAATAAATAAATAAATGTATATAATTCAATTTTAATTATTACAGAAATAATTTACTACTAGGCATTATGAAGTTGCCGATGGCATGGAAAATTATTATTATTTGTTACGTTATATTAATTTTAACCATCGAAAAAGCTTACGAAGAAAAATATATATGCTCAGCTATATTTCTTGACGTAGCTCAAGCATTTAAAAAGGTTTAGCACGCTGGCCTAATACAGAAACTTGAAAAAATGTTCCCTAGACAACATGTCGACATTCTACAATAATATCTAAGGGGAAGAATGTTTAGAGTAAAGCAAGACGAGGCATACTCCGAAATGAAATAAATTAAAGCAGGTGTCCCACAAGGCAGTGTGCTAGGACCAGTTCTTTACTTATTATACACCAGCGATATCCCTCAACAACAATCTGTTAAAATAGCAATATTTGCGGATGACACTGCAATATTGGCAGTTAGCGGAACTAATACAGAGACCTCAGAAAAACTTCAGGAAACCTGCAACAGAATCAATCAATTGACAAAAAAGTGGAAAATAAAAATAAATCCAACTAAATCAGTGCATGTTGATTTTACTATTCGACCAAATGAACAAAAACAAATAAGAATAAACAATGACGTTATTCCGCATCACGATTCGGCCAAATACCTAGGGATGAACCTAGATGTAAGACTTAAATGGAAAGAGCACATAAAAAAAGCGTAAAGAACTTGAGCTTAAATTAAAAAAAAATGTATTGGTTCCTAGCAAGAAAATCCAAATTGTCAGTGCACAACAAACTGCTGATTTATAAACAAATTCTAAAACCAATCTGGATTTATAGCATACAGTTATGGGGATGTGCCAGCAAGAGTAACATCAACATGATACAAGTTTTCCAAAATAAAGTCGCAAGATGCATTGTTGATGCACCTTGGTTCTACCGAAACGATTATCTTCTTAGAGACCTGAAGATGCCAACAATCGAAGAAGAAATAAAGAGGTTTGCTGCGAAACATGAGGGTCGACTCCACTCCCACGTCAACGAAGAAGCGCTGCAATTACTGAACAACTCTACACTTAACAGAAGACTTAAAAGGAAGAAGCCATTTGAGCTAGTGCAGTAAACGTTAATGTTAGTGCTAGTGTAAAACAGTGTAATAAATCGTCACGCCAACTTGTGATGCTTTCCTATAGAAACAGTTAAGACTTCTTAGATTAGTAATTAGTTATAAGATTTTTAGATTAAAATTGTAGGTTACTCAGTAATGACTAGTAACAATACTCTAACAAAAAAAAAATTAATTCTGTCATCATTGTAGTTAATTTTGTACACACAAAGTGGCTCAAATGTGTGGAATAATGAGTGTTATTTTTAAAGTTGAAGCAAGACGGTGCTACACTACCATTTGTTTTATCCTACCATGTTTTAAAAGAACAAAATTTGGCTTAAATTATAACAAGATAATAAGGAAAATAGAGTAACAAAATTAATTTGATTTACCATCAAAGTGGCCCTAAAAACGATAAATATATGTGTTATCAAATCAGATAACACATCAAAATCTACCTTAGAAAAAATAAAAGAACAAAAATTGTGAGCCCGCTAGTTTTCTTAGAAAAATACACTGAATTTAAAAGCCGTAGTTGATTGAGCTTATCTCTGGTACCTTAAATTAAGCTGTTAGGAGGTGTAGGTAGATTAAAGTTAAGTTAATCTTCCAATGAATACATAATATATATTGGATAATCAAGAAAAAATTGATAAATATAAAAAAAGTTTGATGAATTTAAATTTACGATTCACGATTTTGGTTTTTCCCGATCTAATACTTATTGTAGTGGTAATCTCCTAGAGTTTCTTATTTCTTTAGTTATTCAATGTTGCCGTTCCAGGTTCACCTGTAGCTAGCTGGAAACTGAAGCTTATAAGAGCCAATAAAGTTGAATTACTAGAGACAATATTGAGGGTAAATACTGCTATTTCAGGAGGTACTCCTACTCATATAGATACTATTGATGGAAAGCGAATACAAGCAGTGCCATATTTGAATGTAAAAATAGACAACCACATTTTTACAATCAGACCAGTTATCGATTTACCTGAAAGCAAAATTTGAAGTTTCGGCTCGTTCAGCATATAAAACCCATGAGGATTGCTGCCGCAACAATAATCAGGTGCTATCTATACAATTATTATTATAAAATAATTTACGAGACTAAAATCTAAAATTATCATAAGATTATAATGTAGTGTTGGTAGCAGCAAATAAGATAATTTATGTTCATGAAAATTTAGGTATAGTTATTTACTGTCAAAATTGCATTTCCAGAATTTGAAAATAAACAAATTTGTTTATATACTTGTGAATCTTATTTTTAAATGTTACAACTATTGTTACTTAAATTTCATATAATTTTGAACTAATTGTCTTTTTGATAAAGCTAGGGTTTATATAAATCTTAACTAGCTTTAAAAAAAATAAAAAAGAGAATTATTGAGACCCTTCTGTAACTGTATCTAAAATGTGTGGAGGGTGGGTTACCCTCACGGCACTCAGGCCTCATTAGGTCCATTGTGCATCCTCCTGAGATGATAGGCACCTCCTAGCTCGTGAGTTAACTTACAGATTTAATGTAGTTGACAACATCGCCAAGAGGTGCTTCTCTTATATCGGCCGGTGTTAGCCGATACTCGTCGAACACAAATCTTCTAATAAATGAGAGCATCGAACAATCGTAAAGGATATGCTCGATGGTCTCATCTTCTTATTCGCACACTCAGCAGAGTGCGTATTTTGACAGCCCCATGATATGGAGGTGCATGTTGAGACATGCTGTTCTTTGAATTTGTTTTAGTTTACGGATAGCTGTTAATTTATGGGTTTTCGGTACCCAGACGTCTACACCCTATGTTGACATAGGTCTTATGATAGCCATGTAAGTCTATGCAACGACTCTGGGGGAGAAAATCCAGGTGCGCTTCAGCGTTTGGCGACATTGTTCATAAGCAATGTATGCGCTTTTAACTCTGTTTTTAAATGCGAGTTCCATGTTATCTTGCTGTCAAAGGTGAGACCTAGGTACTTCACCTCTGTTGCAAAGTTTAGTTTTTTATTTAGGATTCTGGAGGTTTTAATTTCATTTTCATCCTTTTCCTTGTGAAAAGGATCCTTTTTGTCTTCTTAGAATTGGTAGACAGTGAATGGTCCTTGTACCACTGTTCGATAATTTTTAGAGCTACTTGCATTCTTTCGCAGAGTTAGTTCTCAAAATTTCCTGTTTGCAGAATGACCAGGGGCCTATTTCATAAAACTACTTTGCAACTTTTCACTTTGCACTTTGCATATTTTACTAAATTTACGTTCTATGCAAGAGATATTTAAAGAATTAAAAAGTAAAATTTGGAGAGCAATTTGAAAATTGACAATGAAAAACGAAAAACTAATAATCTGCAAAGTTATCGATATTATTTTATGAATCAAAAGTATTTTGTTCTGGTAAATTTGAAGTGCAAAGTGAAAAGTTGCAAAGTAGTTTTATAAAATAGGACAGAGCATGTTATGTATCCATCCACTAACCATTTGTTGAACATTCCTGTTGATTAGTGAGTGTATTATCTTTGGGAAGGTAGTTTTATCAAAAGCACCTTCTATGTCTATAACAAGTGATCTAAATTAAAAATTTAAAAAAACCGACTTCAAAAACGTGCAGATGCCGTCACCACATCTTATCCAAATTTATATATGGCCACCCCTGTGGTACCCCCTTACTAACAAAAAAAGAATCATATATATAGGACGAGGTGGAAAAGCATTATCGCTAAACATATATAAAAAATGAAGAATTTAAGGAATTTCTCATGGACCCAATTATTAGATTTTGACCAAATTTATATGGGACCACCCCTGAAGTACCCCCTTTCTAACAAAAAAAGAATCATTAAAATCGGACACCGTGTTAAAGAATTATCGCTGAACATACATAAAAAAAATATATCGCGACGAATTGATAACCTTCTCCTTTTTTGAAATCGGTTAAAAACACCCAAGACAGACTCCTTATTATCCAGGGATCTTTCTATCCGGCCAGCAACTAGATAAAGGGCTGAATCATTAGATCTGCCTGGGGTGTATGCATGTTGGTTTGGGTGTAGTGGTGATGTTGTACCTTTCGAATAGCCTTTCCAATGTCTTCATGAAAAACGATGTCAGACTAATTGATCGTTATGTTTTTGGGACAGTGTAATCCATCCACGTTTGGGTATGAATACCACTTTCACCTCTTTCCATTTTTTGGGGATATACCTCAGAGCCAATGAGGATCTAAATATACCCACCTGGTGAGGTTATTGGCGCCCTTTCCTCCCCGAAAACTATTTCCCCAAAAGTGTCTATTAGAAAAGCTTGAATTCACGACTGATAAAACCATATGGACTACGTGCTTATTTCAATTTCTGATTTGATTAAAGGTAAGTAATGTTTGGTATAAAATATCCAAGAGCTAGTCAAAATCTTATATAACTATTATTGCAAATTAATTAACACCAGATATATTACAGGTTATTATCGTTCTCACCATTTATTAGACAGGCGACTCCAGCAATTTCTCGAATTTACTTTCAGTACATTCCTGGATGAATAATTCATACCGGCTATCTGTGAACAAAGGCGTCACTATAGCTGGGTAAAGGAGGGGTATACCCTTCATCAAATGTACCAGGTTTTAAGTGGGGTCGTAACAAGGCTCAAACAAGGCAGAGGGGCCAAAAAGATCAGAGCGTGACTAGATTGGTCGGATAAAGGTCATATTACAATTTTATACCCTCATACGTCAGTTAGAGACTCTCTGTCAGTGTAGCCAATACAATTTAAATAGTAATATTTATATCCCACGTGACAAAATTTATGTCATTAGTTTGCTAAAAGTAGTAATCCTAAAACAATGCTATTGACCTATTTGACAGAACTATTTTTTTAATTAATTTCTTGTTTTACCAGAACACATGGGATACGGTTATTGTTGAAGACTCAGTACCACGGATATCATCCGCCATTGAAAAGGTAATTTTATGGAAAAATCAGTAATATGACTGTTTATTGTGTTAGGTACTTTTCATTTTAGTGCTCTCTAGCGGGATAAAAACTGTTACATATTGAGATTAAATATATATTAAAATAATATATTATTGTGTAGAATCGATAAATAATAGCATTTCTATTTGTATTTCGTCTATAATTAACTAATTTGTTAATTTAAATAAAACTATTTATGAAGACAACTTATTTACTAGTATTAAAACAAAAATGTTAAACACATAGGTGGTGGTAAGGTCCACGTACTTGCTTTTCATGTCGAAGGCCCGGGTTTAAATCTCTGATGGGGATAAATTAAATTAAATCTGTTTTTTTTTGTAGTTTATTTTTTTTTTTTTTTTTTAATTAGTAAAAGTCATAAATTATTTTTAAATTAGTTATTTTATCTTAATAACCTAAAATAATTTTTAATATTTGTAGATTTTCGTTAGTGGGTCGTAGATAAAATATACTGTACAGCTCGAGTGGATTGTCCACTCCTGTTGCACAAAATATTATTTTCTACGATCACTATCGAATATAGACCTTTGCGCCTTAAAAAGTAACTACTAAATTGATGTTTTTGCAAGCTGTAATAATTTGACATTATTGGCGCTCCTATGCGAAAAGTAACTTTGGCGCATGCCTTATTTTATTTATAGAAAAAATAGAGCTGTTAGTTATTTTAACACAGACTATAGCCTATATAAATATTTTAATTGATTTCCTAATATTTTAAATCATCCAAGAGTATTTTCCGTAAATAATTAAATGAATAAATCACAAATAATTATCGACATATTATTATAAGTATTAATAGTATATTATTCAATAAGTGTATAATGTTGACCATATTACACGAAAGTTGTAAATATTCGAGTGTAGTATGGTCCATTATACACGAATTGAATATTACACTTTATCTACAACTGAATACGGGGGCTCACCGAAAACGAAAAGGGGATTTTTAGAAAAAATTATTTGAAGTTATTATAAATAGAATTTACAAGATTGTTCACAATTAAAAGACCTTTCAAATGAGGAGAATTTAAGCCACCGTGTGAACTAAAACGCCAATTTATACAGGAACTCGTTTAAAGTTATTTATTGATGTAATTAATAGTAACATTACAATTTGAAATATTAATAGCTCCGGTAATATCATTGAGATTATTGTTTTTTAAAGAAAAATTAGTGTTGCTATTGGTGAGTACAGAATCATGACGATCACTGTCAGAAGATGATGGATTATTAAGACCAACACAATTTTCATTATTGATTTGACTTAAAATTGCTTGAGTTGTTTCTATTTTGTTCTTTTTTGAATTGACGATGTACCTTTCTGCTGTGGAGGCGGATTTCCAGCCTCCATGACGTTTTAATGTTGTCATTAAAGCTCCAGAATCAGCAACCAGTGTTGCAGATGAACGCCTGAGGCAATGGCCAGTATATCTCTCAGGGTTTGGTAATTGTAAAAACGTAGCAATTTCCTTTCCCATTATGCTAAACTTGTTTATTCTTATCACTTGTTTTGTACACTTTCTTTTTTGGAAATTGAGAAAAAAATATTGTGGTGTATTTTCGGGCCGGAGGTCTATATATTTTTTAACGATTTTTAAAAAATTATCCACAATTGTGAAAGTCCTTGGGACTTTGGTTTTTGTGTGTGGCACGTTTACTTGAAAACATCCCTCAAAATATCTTAAATCCCCAATTTTCATATTCTTTAATTAACAGGATCGGCAAGCACCCATGACCCCCAGAATCAAGGCAACCTTAAAAAAATGTGTAGATTAAGTTAAAGAATTTTAATTTTTGATTCGAGATTTTACCTTTGTTCCAAGATATTTAACATCTGGGGCTTCCTTTATAAACCTCTCAATTTGTTCACCAGTCAGAGCTTCAGATTTCTTAGATTCGTAATTTTTAAATCGTCTTTTCAACAAAGCACGTAATCTCGGATATTTATCAATGTCGACATTGTGCTTGATGTTTAACATTCTTTTTAGCAGGGAATAGTTTGTCCATAAAGTAGACGATTTATATTTACTAGAAATTTTCATAAAATATACAAGCACAGTGTCTTCAGAAAAAGAGGATACATTTTTTGTTTGTTTTGCACGACATAAATTTGTTGTATGCAATCTCATAATTTTTCCTCAATATTTCAGGTAATAATTCCAACGACGCCACCTTAGCAGCGTCGCGGATTTTAGGAGGTGTTAGTTCCATGTAATCATCGTCTTCCATTTTTTTAATTGATAAACACTTAAAACGGGCTTAATATTTTTAGTTTAATTTCAAAAAAGAATCGGGAACAACGAATAACTGTCAACATGCTGTCAACTAACTTGTCAAACGCATACTAGATCTAATGATTTTTAATTCTAGTGGGGTATAATTGACAAAAATCGTGTAATATGAATATATTCTCACTAGTGATATATAGATTGCTTTATGTTGCCTTAGATACGCATATAACGTATGTCCCTAAAGTTTTCGGAAAAAAAATCTATTTTTATTTATTTATCGCAGACAGCCTAGGATCAAGTTGCCAATGGAAACAAAGTTAGTAAACAACTCAAAGTATGTTGCTAAATGTCAGTTTTGACTAATTGTTTGTCAAGATGTCGTATAAGCTTAATATTCGTCAAAGTATTTATCATTTAGTTGGACAAGCACCTAAGCGCGATATTGTTAGAATTTTCAGCGCCCAAAATATTTCTACTTCCACAATTTACCGCACTATTAAAGACTGTGAAAATGGCATACCATGCATTAATTTGCCAAAAACGATGTACTCGAAAAATTATTAGATATGTTACATTTTCGTCAAATAAAAAAATTCAAATACAAAGATGTAAAGTTATCCCGTGAAATAGCGAAAAATGTTGGTTATCACCCAGAGTGCAAAGCCAAGTTCATGGTTTTGAAAAAGAAGTACAAGGATGAATTCGATAATATGTTTAAAATGGATGTAAGTATAAAATATGTTTAAGGATTATAAATAGCAAAATACGTCTACTAGTGATGAATGCGGTTACAATTTTCGTTCCACATTTTAAGTGAAAGAAAAAATGATGTGCATCAATAAATAGTAATGGGTGTTTGTAAATGAATGGTCGTATGCATGCTTCAATACTTAATATAATATTATAAAATCAAAACTAGCCAAAATAAAAATATTAATATAATGTAGCTAAAATACGATTAATAATTTATTAGGTAGAACCGAGCACATCCACAGATGCTAACAAAAATAATAAACAGGCCGAGTCTATTATCTTACAAGACGGAGAATTGTATAACACTTGTATGAACTATTTCAGTGGAACAACAACGCCAAAAGACGAAAAATCTTCAAGAAATATTTTTTTAGATTGGTCGTGTTCTGCTATGACACATGTTTCACAAGTAAGATTGAATATACAAAAAAGTAAAGTTGCCACCGCACAATAATTGTGTAATATAATTACTGAAAAATGTTTATGCTTACATCTACCAAGTTTTGAATGCTTTAAAAATAATAATAGCTGCACAAAAATTTCACAATAATTGCATGACATCAAAATAAATTAAAGAAAGTAATGAATAGTAAAGTTACCAGACGCGAGACTAAGACAAGCGACAAGCGGCCGCGTAAGGAGACCGAAATGTGTATCTTACATGTGAATCACTTGTAACAAAATAAAGCACATTTGGAACAGCGCGACCAATTCAAGAGAGGACGGCACATTTAACACGGCACATTTAACACGGCAGTGTTTTCTGCCTTGCAGTCTTTCGCCTGTCTTTTGTCTTAATCTCGCGTTCCCAAATGATACCTTAACACTGTTAGTGTAATATCGCGTGCCTACTATAAAGTTATCATTAGTTATTTAATGAACGATTGATAGTTGACTTTGTACATATTTTTTCAGCAAGATCAATTCGTTGCATCCACACCAATAACTGCAGATGAAAATATAGCTCCAAACATTTCAGAATTCAATGATGAAACTGATGAACGAGCCGAGAACACGTTGGCATCCCAACCTTCAAATGATAGTGGTGACACATGTTCAAAATGCATTTTTTGCGACGTTGTTCGAAAAAGAAGCGGTTCTTGCCAAATAAGGGTTAGGTTATGTAATTCGCAACAATTGCCTATATCAGAAAAATGGCTCAGGTTTTTAAAGATACTGAGTTACTCGATCGACTAGGAAATCGGAATATGACATTTTATCATCCTGTTTGCTACAGTTTGTATCATACTAAGTACATCAGAAAATTACCTGAAAATCTTGATTCCAATAGCGCTTGGCAAAATTTAAGAAATGTTCATAAAGCGGCATTCGAAGCACTTTCTGCTTTCATACATGTAGAAACAATTGAGAACAAGAGAATTTTTTTTTATCTGATTTGTTTTCGAGATATTTTGCTTTGTTATTAGAAATGTCGAAGGATACATTATGTAAAAATTACTTCGAAAATTATAGAGCAGAACATTTGCAAGACAAAATTATACGCGAGTTTGGTGACGTTCTTACTGTGAGATCGTCCCGTATATGCGCAAGAAAAAAATTAGTTTATAAGCATGACATCGATGTTTCTAAGTTAGTGCATTCAACAGTAATTAGAGAAAGTGCGGAAGAAATGAAATTGCGAGAAGTAGCTTACTCTGTAAAGGCAATATACAAAAGAAAACTTCCTAAAAAGTTGCACGTTTCTAATATCACTGATGGGGAGTGAGATATTCCTGTTGATCTTTTTAATCTCATTTCTAATTTGATTCACGGCCCTGACTTGCGTAGGAAACAATCTGATGATCTCTTTCGAATAAATTCAATTTGCAGTGACATCATTTATGCTATAAAAAAGGGAAGAATAAAACCTTCGAAGCACCTAAGTCTTGGATTAGCGATAAAATCTATGACTAGTAGCAGAAAAGTATTGACCATTCTAAATAAGTACGGGCATACTGTGAATTATTCTATGGCTGAAGAGCTTGAGACTGAGCTCGCTTTTACGGCCCAAGAAAAAATCAATTAATACCCCTGGTATTCAAGTCACTGATGGACTCTCAACACATTTGGCATTTGATAACTTTGACAGGTTTGTTGATACTGTTACGGGTAAAGATACTCTCCATGATACGGTGGGCATAATATATCAATTCTCTTCGAAAACTGATGATACCATGTCACTTGCTGCAACATCTCATAGTGCAGAGCTAACCTCTTCGAAAGATAGCAATATTTCTACAGAGAGTAGGTCTCGTAAAAGACGCAAATTTGAAGAAACTCCGCGTGTTATGAAACCTTATTACAAGCGTAAGGCGACTTTGTCATTGTTATCGTTTGACGTTGTACTGGAGACTGTAGGCAACTGCAACATCTCAAGAGAGCGTTCCATAATAAGAGATATGTTATGGGTTTTTTCTCTTTTGCATCTCGACAAGGTACCAATGTGGGTAGGGTACAATTCGTCAGTTATTGTTGATTGTAGTGAAGTGCAGAACATTGATTACATACCTCCAATAAATTCGTCTTCTACGTCCTATAATGTCGTTTATGAAACTTTGACCATGTCCAAAGAAGTGGCCGATCAATGCCATCAAGAACAGATCATCGTGACTTATGATCTAGCAATCGCGAAAATGGCAATGCAAATTCAAAGTCTGGAAAGTCCAAAATTTGATGGTTTATTTATCAATTTAGGAGGCTTTCATATGCAATTAGCGTTTTTCAAAGCTGTTGGTAAATTTATTGATGGTTGCGGAATCGTAGATATTTTAACAGAATCCGAGGTTTTAGCAGCAGGTTTTGTAAACGGATTTATCGAGTCTAAACACTTCAATGGGTGTAAAAGAATTCACCCCATTCTTGCAGGTGCTCTTCAGATTTTGATTTATTTATGTCAGCAAGTGCTTTTTCTCAAGATAGTTCCATTTCTGATCTAAAAGTTGTTTTTGATCTTCCTGTTCCATCTCATGAATCGTTGATATTGTCTCCTGCTTTAGAAGAAGTTATTAGGAAATACAAAGATTTCTGTTCACTAACTCTAACAGGATATCACGAAAAACAGCGCAATTCTATTTACAGTGCGTCGAGTTGATAAGCATTTTTTTAAGATTTTCGAGGAGCATAAGAACCAGTGACTTTGATCTTTACATCGACTTAGTTTTTGAAATGACTAACATGTTTTTTATATTCAACCAACCCAACTATGCACGTTGGTCTCTAAAGTACTTAAGTAATCTGGTTTCTTTAAAAGTGGACAATTCGCCTATCTTGAATGAATTTAAACGTGGTGCTTTCAGGGTTAAACGAACGGAAAAATCGTTAGCTAGATCTCCGGTGGATCTTCCTTTAGAACAAACAGTGAATGTTGAAGCGGGCAATTCTTTGACTGGGATAACTCATTTCACGAATTCAATTACAGCTAGACAGCGATGGGCATTTAGTCATACTTCGAGAACAAAGGTAATTTCTCATCTGCGTGAGAAGATGGGAATGTCTCAGAAAGATGACGTTTCCCACCATTTAGAAAAAAACGGATTAAAAAAGACACGAAAGCACTGAAGGCAATTCGAACAATGTTAAAGCAAAATATGAGTCCATTTGATCAAAGCGTTAACAAAGATTGTTTGTTTCATATTGCAACACGAAAAGCAGTTTCTTCCAAAGTTTGCGATTTTTTGACCAATGCAAGCATGACGGGTCACCAACAGAAGTTGCAATTTTTGGAAGAATGTGCAAGTTCGCCTGATCACTTTGAAAAACCAATTGAAAGAAACACTCTTTTGAATTTTGCTTCAGATTGCATTAAAAAAGTTCGTATGGCAAGCAAGTCTTAACTAAAATGGAAAGAAACGTCTTTGGTTGTCTTCTATCCATTGTACTGGAAAAAAAAAATTGATATGTAAATATGTTTTTCATATCCCTTAGCCCCTGCGCCTCCAGCACTTGTTTAACGCAATGGAAATATGCACAAAACACCGAAAGCAGCACTGGGGAAACTTCTTACAGCCAACGTAAATCTTTCCATACCCCTTAAAAATCATATTGAAATCATTGACGGTTTTTATTTCCTAAACGTTTTGGGTCCATCAGTTCCGCAAACTTTTTGAAAAATAGCTGAACATGTATTGCGAGATTTGTGGTAAAGATGCATCGGAAATACATTTAGTTTTTGACAGATATTTGTCCCCATCGATTAAAGATGCAGAAAGGCACAATCGACAAGAGATCGACATTCCTTTTTCAATTGTTGGACCTTTACAAAAAAGACAACTTGATTTTAATAAAAGCCTCAAAAATTTTAGGTTTAAAGAGGCACTTGTTAAATTTTTTGCACAGTACTAGGAAGATGATTCTATGACGCCGTTTATTCAAAACAAAACAGTTTTCATTACTGTACAAGAACGGTGCTACTCTCTCTTACCGTTCTGTTAATGGAAGAATTTTCAAAAAGGAGGAGGAAGATTTCGAATGTCAGCATGAAGAAGCTGACACTCGTATACTTTTTCATATGAATAAAATCAAGCAAAATTCGACAATATTGGTAACCGCCTCTGATACCGACGTTCTAATTATTTTACTAGGTAACATCCATAAATTTCCTAATATGGACATTTACCTAGCAACTTCCTTTGCACAAGAAGAAGATTTCAAGTGCTATAGTATAAATGATGTCGCAACTTCTCTAGGTCCAAATATCTGCCGTGCCTAGCCAGCCTTTTACGCATTTACAGGCTGCGACTACACTGCAGCGTTTTATAGACAAGGAAAAGTACGACCCTTTAAATTGTTGCAGAAAAATGACAAATTCTTGTGTGCATTTGCATCTCTAAATAATGCGAACGATGTGAACGATAGGAAGAAAACAGACCTTATTAAGGAATTCACTTCACTAATGTACGGTGTGAAAAATTGTTGCAGTGTTAACAGCGCAAGGCTCCAACTGTTTGAAAAACTGTTTTCTCCAAAAAATGTAAAAAAAAGAGCATTTTATGCAAACAATTAAAGGGTTGGATTCAAGCATTATTTCTCCATGTTGGAGAACTATGGAACAAAAGATCTTGCGTACAGTGTACGTTAATTAAAGGTGGCAAAACACTGCAGATGCAAATTCTTCCAAATTAAATGTTGAAGAATGCGGTTGGGAGCTAAATGAACGTTTGGAACCAGTGTGATTCAAGGGAGACCCAACGCCATTGAAAGTTGATGATGTCTTAAAATATAATAAAAATAATATCGATAATGACGAGTTGAATGAGTTAAATTATTTGAATGATTTGAATGATGTTTTTTCAGATTCAGATAATGAGTAAATGTTGAAATTTTTGATATTTTTTTATTATAATAATTTATTTTAGCATTGATAAATTGTTTGTGTATACATATTTATTTAATTTAATTTTTTCATGTATGTATTTAAAATTAAATAATTTAACAATCCTTAGTAAGTATATCTTTAATACATTTTCTGGAAAACTTCCGAATATAACTATATCATCGTCGTATTGAATTTTATTTTCAATTTGTAGATACACATTTTTATAAATATAAAAAGTAATAAAATATATCTAAATAAATACCTGAAAAGATATTCTGTTAAATATTCTTTGTTATTCGAAGAATTTAATTATTTTCTCATGTACCCTATCATCAGATGTTGACCAAATTTATATATGACTAACCCGGTGTTTCCTTTTCTAACAAAAAAGAATCATAGAAATCGGACAACGTGGTATAGATTTATCAGTGAACATACAAAAAAATAAAATATTCTAACGATATGAGTATCTCCTCCTATTATTGTAAGTCTGTTATAAAGCCTATAAAATTATGATACAAACCAAGGCTTCAGTAATAAGTTTACAATTAATTATTAGGATTGTAATTTTCAATATAAATAATTTTCGTTGTCATGGCTTATGTGATTTTTTGTATATATGAAATAAATTAGTTGGGCGAGGAGCGTCTCAGAAATTACGCTGTGCCAGCAACTTAGCTCAGGTTAAAACGTGGCACATGCGGATATTCCTGAATGGGACATTATGCCCCTTCGATTGCATATTGTTTTAACTCGTTATCACATGACGGAAGTTTGTCGAGAATTTTGGCTGAATAAAAAGGCCATGCCAAGCATTTGGCTTAGGAAAAGAGGTGGCACAGGTACATGTTTAAGTTCTATTAATTAATAGCTATCCGATGGCATAAGTCTTATCTCGTTATCAAATGACGACATTTCTCGCTAATTATGACACCGAAAGTGCCATTGTTTTAACTATTTTGCTCAGGATAGTAATAGGCACAGGTGCCGTTTGGTAAATTACAATATTTTTACATGCCTCTGAAGCATATTTCATTTCGTTATTAGATGACGGTGGAAATTTGCAGTGGGTTCTTGGGCTATTAGCCTTGTTTATTTTAGTTTCTGTTGTCATTCCATTTTCGACAAATTCAATCAAGAGCAGGAGCAAGGGGCAAACCGCTGAGCTGATCTAATACAATAAAATAATTTAATATTATTATTATGGATGTGATCATGAGATTTGAAAAACTATTTCCAAGTCAGCAAGTTTTGACACTCTCCCTAATGCTAATCCTTAAGTTGTGTAGATACAATTTCGAGAATTACGAATTTTACAGAACATAATTTACCTTGCATTTTTAAAGATTAAAAAGTAATTTATTTTCCAATGACCAATCCAAAATTGATTCTAAATTATTTTAAAGGTCTAGATAGTCACCTAGGGTGAATAGTAAGGGTCTAATTTGAACGCGTTAAGGACCTCAGAGCGTGCGAGTATTGTATAAGACAGTTTACCACTAAACATTACGTATTGAGATCCCAGTTTTAGATAAGACAAGAAGAAACTAAACTGGTGATTGATAAGACCCTAATTAGCGAATGCAACTTATGTAGAACGGTGAATAAAAATATCTATAATTTATACAATATTTTTCTCGTCTTTTAGTACATTCCTGGAAAATATATTTTTTAAATCTTTACCAAGTTTACTTTATTTAATACCCCACAAAGGATGTATGAAGGATTTATGAGGATATACGAAGAAATTATGAGGATTTCCGAGGATGTTTACGGATTTAAACGGAAGTATGAGGATTTATTTATAAGAATTTATATCAACCACTAGGATGTAGGTGTACAAAATTCAGCTCAGCGGTATGCCCCTCGCTCCTGCTCTTGATTGAATTTGTCAAATGGAATGACAACAGAAACTAAAATAAACAAGGCTAATAACCATAGCAGTTGATGCCGATGACACAGAAAAAAAACGGTACAAAGTACCGAGAATTTATAAATATACAAAATTATTGTAATAAAATAAATTTATCCACCAAATTTTAGAATAGAAACTTGGCCAAAATTTTATATAAAAATATCGCCACCAAAATATGTTCCAATCTATTAAACTCAAAGTTCACCCTCCACTTTTAATAGAAAAACTTCGCCAAAATTTTATATAAAAATATCGCCACCAAAATATGTTCCAATCTATTAAACTCAAAGTTCACCCTCCACTTTTAATAGAAAAACTTCGCCAAAATTTTATATATAAAAATATCACCACCATAATATTTTGTTCCAATCTATTAAAATGAAAGTTGAACCTCCAAATTTAAAAAAAAATTCATCAATATTTTATACTAAAATAACCACCAAAATATTTTTCCCTCAAATCAAAATTATAATATATATATATATATTATAGAAACTGCATTTCTTGTCACAATGTACTTAATCAAAATAAAAATTATACAAACTAATATATTATGACCCTATTTACATAATCGAGCCTTTAAAGCATGAGCAACGAGTTTAAGGCCACAATGCGCAGCGGAGTGTCCTTAACGTTGCGAATATATTTTCGCGGATTTTGAGAACCAGTTACGATTGAAAATTCATACCTTCAAGAGGTTAGTACAAGAAAACGTATCAAGTATCGGTGAAACTAAATTGTTGGTGCAAAACGTTTTTGTCTGTAAAATTACAATAAAAAACCTGTGGTAGAAAAAACCTGGATCATCTCATGAATATACCGGATTAAGCAGAGCTCTCACGTCACCCCTAGACGTAGTTTGGGTAAGTGATTTGGTTTCAATCGTTTTTTCTGCCGTTTTGTTTTTAAAATAATTTTTTTAACCTCTATTTAATATATAATATACTCCCCAATCCGTATAGAGATGAATTTATGCAACATAGGAAAAACTTGATAATTGGTATCACAAATTTTGTACAAGAAAAGTATGCAACTAGAAATAATGAAAAATACGTGGAATCCTTAAATAGTTATTCACAAATTCGGGATATTGTTAATTCTTTAATGGATGTAGACCCAGATCAGATGTCAGAAACAATTAGTATAAGCGATAGTGCCTCCGAATTGTAGAGCACTTAAAATATTGCAGTAGAATGTATTGTCATATAACAAATGTAAACCCAATTTATTAAATTATATATCTCAAAATCCTTTTGATATTTTGATTCTTTCCGAAATTTGGCAAAAAAACTCAATAATAAATATACGTGGCTTTTTCACCATTCAGGTTAATAGAACCGATGGAAAAGGAGAAGTTGCGATACTTATTGCAAATAACTTATTCTATAAATATTGTAATGAATTTTAACCAAAGCATATATCTTTCTAAATGATGGCTCACTCACCGGTATAAGTAGGCCAAATGAAGGTCCGTCTGCATTGGATCTTACCATTACCACGCCCAATCTAATTGAAAACATTAATTGGTCCGTTTTATCAGATCGGATGGGCTCCGATCATTTTCTCATTGTAATTACGCTTGATTCCAATTTTAATCCTAAATACATACACCCGTATAGAAAATGGAATGAAAATACGGCAGATTGGACACTGTTTCAGTCTATTTTAAATAAAATTATTTATTTAAATTCATAATAACGCAGATAATTTTTTTTTAATGACTTTATAAACGTTATCAATGATGGAACAAACACACACACACACACACACACACACACACACACGCACACGCACACGCACTCGCACACGCACACGCACACGCACACGCACACGCACACGCACACACACACACACACACACACACACACACACACACACACACACACACACACACACACACACACACACACACACACACACACACACACACACTATTTCTTCTTGCGGAAACGTACAGCTTCCCAGATGTAAACAGATTCTGTTTTAAACACGTTTAAATTCATAATATCTATACCAGTTCTTCTGTCTATAAAGTGGTGGGTGGCTTGCACCTACAGCACTAAGGTCTCACTACGTTCACTGTGCATCGTTGGGAATCGTTGTAACCTCTCTTAACTCGTCAGTCAGCCTACTATTTTAATGTATTTGAAATAATAAGAACATTTAGGAATGGTAAATAAATAGTAATAATTAATAAAAATAAAACGAAAGCTTATATTTAATGTTAAAATTATTTTATAAACAGAATATTCAGTTTTTATAATGATATTTTGACAAATCAATTTCAACAGCTTGGCAATTAATTTTTACTATTATTAATAATCCCCCTTTAAATGTAACAGCATTAATTACAACAAATCTAAATAGTTATCACTTAATAGCTCTGAACTGTTTACAATTGCTTGGATGTAATTCTCTATTATGGAAATTAAGTGATATTAAGAAGGTAATAATGTGAAGAAGAATTTGTGGGTTTTAATATTGTATTTTTATAGTAGTTTTGCAAAGTTATACCATTTTGAGACAAAATTTTTTTTTACTATTTTTGATTCAAGCGCACATTTTCTTACCCAATTTACATCTTTATCTTTATCTTTTTCGAATGCTCTAAGACTTTTATAATGTGAGATTTAATATAAGGTAAAGGAGCCTTTTAAGAAGAGCCTCCCTAATAAGAGACCCCATGCGATCTCACTTGTTTTGCAGTTTAGGAAGAAACCACCTAATTTTATGGTTACCCTATATTACGCGGTTCTTCAATGTGTCCGCTAGGTGTCGCACAGTTCGACGAAACACACATCTGACAGATAAATTCGTGGAACGTGCCTGAGGAAGTTTTTACAGTGTTTGGTGCAAAAAATTGTATTTTCAAAATGGTAAGCACGAGATTTTTTCTTAAAATTTGGTTAGATAGCTATTGTAATGCGAATTTAACTGTGCTAGATTTATGTAGGAAAGTTTAAAATTATTTAACCTAAAAATATATTTTGTTTATCGTGTTACTGGTCCCTATTAAGAGACCTCTGTGGGTTCCTATTATGAAGAGGGTCTCCTATTAGGAGCTGCCAACTTTTTTACAAAGTATTTAATTCAAATAATTTTTTCAGGCGGAATCACCTAAAAGACGAAAAACTTGGAATAAAGAACACATGGTGTTGGCAATTAAGCCAGTTAGGCAACACAATATGGGGTACAAGAAGGCATCAAAGCATTTTGGTGTGCCAAAAGGCACCCTCGAACGCTATGTGAAACAAATTGACGTAACTCCAGAGGATGTGGACAGTGAAGTCGAAAAAGTCACCAAGAAAGTAAAATTTAATGAGACTATAAATCTTCCAAACAGTAACAAGACACTACAAAAAACCAAAAAAGAAAAATTTTATGAGACCACAAATCATCCAAGCAGTAACAAGACAATATGTGATGAAAGCGATTCAGAAGTTCCTTACAACGACGACAGCGATGAAGAAGACAATGATGCAGAGTGCCTGTTTTGTACGAACCTGTATTCTGCGGACACACATGGTGAACAATGGGTAAAATGCATAAAATGTTACCGATGGGCGCACGAACATTGTGGTGCAGAAGATGCAAACTTCATTTGTCCAATGTGTGAAGAGAGGAAATAATATTTAGCTCAAACCTTCTTACTGAGTATCCAAAATATATGTACGGTTTCTAATAAGAGACAGGGGATCCCAATATGAGACCCCTGTCTTTTATTAGGAACCCCAATATTTTTTCGCCAATATTTGCTTAATTAGCTTTAAGTTTATTTTTTGCTAAGTTCGCAGACAAATTGCATATTCTTTATTTAGTTCTTATAGCAAATATAATGTTGTTCAATAAACGTCTTCAATTCCGTAGAAAAGTCTTGTTTGGTAAACGTTACAATTTTTTTTAAAAAGGGGTCTCTTATTAGGCTCCTTTACCTTAGTGTTTATTCAACGAAAATATAACTTTCTTTAATTTGCCATCGTTTTTGATATTTTAACCATGGCTAATTATTTTAGAGACATCAATATGTGATTGCAATGTTATTTTCAAAGGTCTTGAGTTATTTGCAGATTCTTCTTACCAAGTCTAAATACTTTAATAGACCTTGTATACATTTATTAAGGTAGCTTAAAATGTATTCTTTAGTATTTTTACCTTGTTCCGATTCAGAAAGTTAAAATATTTCTAAATTATTTTTTCTTTCTTCCTTCTCCTCTATGATACTGATACTGTTCAGTGATTTTAATCGATTGTCTTGTTTTAAATCCTTAAAATAAAATTGTGGGTTTGTATGATTTTATGTTTTTGTCACATAAACCTTAATATCCCTTTAGCTTGATTAAAAGAAAAAAACAAAATCAGATATCGTTGCAAATGACAACGGCATTGTTGTGATAATAATTCATATAAATCCATCAATCGCAGTAATTACAAGAAATTAATTATTTTACTGTTGCCAGCTGCAGAGGAGCGGTAACCTGTCTCAAAAACCAATTGTGTCAATGGTCACAGCTGTTGAGATTCTCGAGTAAAAGTGAATTTTGTTCTAAAGAGATCATATTTTCATATTAAATAGGATTCATTCATTTTCATTTTAAAGCGAATTAGTTAAAGAAGCCAGGTTAATAACGTGTGTGAAGTTAGCATCTCAAATCTCAACACCTTATATTTTAAGCAGAGTTCTTATGGCATCCGATATAGTTCTATAGTTCCTAATACTTTTTAATCTTTCAAATTTAGTACCGAAAAATGCAATTTCAAAAATGAGATGCTAACGACCGGAAGTTAGCATCCCAATATAATAAATAAAATAAGAAAAAGCAGACGGTAAATCGATAGTTTACGAAAAGTTCTAGAGTTCTTGTTCAGTTGTATGGCTAAATTATTTTATTTATAGCTCTGGCACTCTTAAAATATTTATAAATAATTATTATACATATGAATTCTAGACGATAATAAAATGCTGCCATATTAGGACAACTTTTTAATTACAACGCTTTTTAATGATAACTTGAATCTCTCTGTATTGAGACCCGAAGAGTTTTAGCATATACCACTTTTTAAAAAAGTTTTAATAATAAATAGAAATTATAGACTATAGTGAGATGCTGTCATATTATGACGAGTTCTAGAATATACAATGCTTCTAAATGATAACTTGACTCTCTCTGTATGTAATCCCGAAGCCTCTAGAACTTTTTTAATAAATTTTAGGTATCAATGATAAACAGAAATTATAGACTATAATGATATGCTGACATATTATGTCGAGTTAAAAACATACAATATTTTTAAATTATAACTTGACTCTCTTTGCCTTTAGATCCGAAGACTTCTAGCATCTAGCACATTTTCAATAATTTTATGTATAAATAACAAACAGAAATTATAGACAATAGTAAGATGCTACCACGTTATGAAAAGTTATAGGATATATAATGCTTCTAAATGATAACAATTCTCTTTGCATTGAGACAAAAAGAATTCTAGCTTCTAGCACTTTTTCAATAATTTTAAGTATTAATATATTAACAAACAAAAATTATGAACTATGGTGAGATTATGGTCATATTATGGTTCTCAACGCAGAGGAAATCAAGGCATTATATATTTTAGAACTCGTCATAATGTGCCAGAATCTCAATTTAGTTTATAATTTTTGTTTGTTAATATTACGTACAATTATTGAAAAAGTGCTAGAGGCTAGAACACTTCCGGTCTAAATGCAGACAGAGCCAATTATTATTTAGAAGCATAGTATATTCTAGAACTCGTCAAAATATGACAGCAACTCACTGTAGTCTAAAATTTTTGTTTAATATTAATAATAAAAATTATTCAAAAAGTGCTAGGAGCTAGAAATCTTTGTCTTATTTCAAAAAGAGTCAAGTTATCATTTAGAAGCATAGTATATTCTATAACTCGTCATAATATGACAGCATCTCACTATAGTCTATAATTTCTGTTTACTATTAATACTTAAAATTATTCAAAAAGTGCTTCATGCAGAGATAGTCTATTTATCATAATATAATAGCGTTATATATTCCAGAACTAGTCATAAAGTAACAGCATCTCACTATGGTATTTAATTTCTGTATATTATTATTACATACAATTATTGAAAAAGTGCTAGGGCTAGAACTCTTTGGGTTTCAATACAGAGGGGCTCAAGGTATTATTTAAAGGCATTATCTATTCTAAAACTCGCCATAATATGACAGCATCTCACTTTAATTTTTGATTATTATTAATACTTAAAATTATTCAAAATGTGCTAGACGCCAGGACTCTTTGGGTCTCAATGAAAAGAGATTTATGATATCATTAAGAAGCATTATATATTTAATAACTCGTCATAATATAACAATTTCTTACTATAGTCTATAATTTCTGTTTACTATTACTATTTAAAATTATTCAAAAAGTGCAAGAGTGTAGAACTCTTCGCGACTCCATGCATATATAGTCTACTTATTATTTAAAAGCGTTATATATTTCAAAACTCGTCATATTGTGCCAGAATCTCACTATGGTATATAATTTCTGTTTATTATTATTACTTACAATTATTGAAAAAGTGCTAGAGGCTAGAAGTCTTTGGGTCTCATCGCAGAGGGGTCAAGGTATCATTTAGAGGCATTATATATTTTAGAACTTATCATAATGTACCAGCATCTCACTTTGATTCATAATTTCTGTTTGTTATTATTATGTATTATTATTGAAAAAGTACTAGAGGCTAGAAATCTTTGGGAATCAATGCAAAGGCGGCCAAAATATCATTTAAATGCATTATATCTTCTATAAATCGTTATAACGTGCCAGCATCTCACTATAGTCTATAATTTCTGTGTAATATTTATAATTAAAATTATTCAAAAAGTGCTTAAGGATAGAATTCTTCCCGATTCTATGGAAAGATAGTCTATATGGTATTTAAAAGCATTATATAGTCTATAACTCGTTATAATGTGCCAACATTTCATCATGGTCTCTAATTTCTGTTACATTAAATTATTAAAAACGTGCTAGAGGCTAGAAATCTTTGGGTCTTGATGTAGAAAGAGTCAAGTTATCATTTGGAAGCATTGTATATTCTAGATCTCGTCATATTATGATATCATCTCACTATAGTCTATAATATTTGTTTATTATTAATAATTAAAATTATTAAAAAATTCTTAGTCTAGAACTCTTTGGGTCCTAATGGAAAAAAATTTATGTTATCATTAAGAAGCCTTAAATATTCTAGAACTCGTTATAATATGACAGCATCTCACTATAGTCTATAATTTTTGTTTATTATTATATTATTACTTACAATTATTGAAAATATGGGCAACAAATAACCTTTAATTTTCGTTAAAGAAAATCTTTCCATATGTTATCCCTAGGAGTTATTCGTAAATTTCCTTTTATTCTACTCAAAATCGATGTACTTTTTAACCCTTTTTGAGACTTGTATGTGAAAATGGGGCACTTAAATTGGTCACTATCTGATGGTCTACTATTATGTTTATAAATCTCATAGAAATTAATTTATTTATAAATGTAGTGCTGCGCTAATATCCACATGGATGTAAAAAAACTACTAGGATCGATAAATAATAGCATTTTTAATTTTTGTTGGTTCATATTTTGAAAAAAAAAATTAAATTTTAATCAAATTATGTGATACTGGTTTAATTACGATTATTAAAACTAAAATCCTAAAAGTGACCAACTCTTTGGTGGTGGAGGCGAGGAGAGTGCGAATGCCTTCTACGCGAAAATCCTAGGATCGAATCTGGAGTGGGGACTAATTAAATATTTTTTTATGTTTATTTTATTTCATATATTAGTAAAGTTCCCAAATTATTTTAAAATTTGTTATTTTATCTGAATAAGCAAAAATATTTTTTTTAAATTTGTAGATTTTCGTTAGTGAGTCGTAGAAAAAGTATACTGTACAACTCGAGTAGATTATTGATATCGCAATCAAACGATTAAGAGAGTACGATATGGCCATGATGGCCATATCCACTCTTGTTGCACAAACTAATTTTAAAAACATTATTTCATACATTTTTACATTAAGGCATGAGCCTATGTTTATTTTAAAAAACATGGATGATCAATCTATATAACTATCTATATTACTGACCCTGTCAAATCTACCGGGCCTACAGGGCTGCTATACAAATATCAACATGCAACTTTTTTGTTTGGAATGCCTAATTTGAAATCCGATTTAGAGACTTTAATTTAATTTAAATTAAAAGGCATTTTATTTTTAACTCAGCCACTTAGTTTTTCTATTAATAACGTTAACAGAACAATTATTTTACTAAAATTGTGTGATTTGCAGTCAGATATTATTATTATTAATATATCGTCCTCATTAATTAACTATCAAAGAAAATTTTAGAGTTTAGCATAAAGTGATAATTATTATTTTCAACATTACCCGTCAACGAAAGCTCCGCCTATATGAAAATTACAACTGACTAGTGAATTATAACAAAGTGCATCAAGTACCTACTGAAAGCTCGAACTAATTGCTCGGGCTCTAGAAAGTTTCTAACTATAGATTGTCCTGTTCGAAATTATAGCTTGCGGCTAAATCGATTATGGTTAAAACTGAATACAA